TATTATTTGTTTTATTATTGTTTATTGTTTATTATTTTTATTATTAGTTTTATAATATTATTGATTATGATTAATTATTTATTATTGTATAGTGGCTATTGGTTGAAGATTATTTGAAATTGATATTGATGAGTGTTAATTATTGCTTCATGAGGGTTCCTAGACTTGATTTTTTATTAGAGTTGTTGATCTTCTTCGACTTTTTGATTTGTTTGTTTTGCCAAATGCTCTGCTTCATTTTGTTGATCATGATTTTCTTGAATTTCATTTTGGTCGGTTTCTTCAGCTATATAGTTTTCTTGTTGATTGATTACTGGGGATGATGCTATTGGTGAAATATTTGGTATTTGATAACTTATATAATTATAATTAAATTCTTCCTCACTATCGATGGAGTGTTGTTCAAGAGTTAAACCGAGGACTATTGGTTCAGGTTCTTGATGATTTTTTAAAAACTCTTGAAAATTCTTTTCTTCAATTTGTTGCGACAATGTTAATTCTTCTACCTGTTTTTCTTGTTCTGGACTATCAACTTGATTTTGATCATTTTCTTCTTGCTCTTCTTGATCTTGAGCTGGTGATTTTGGGGTTGATGATGGGGAGTTTGGATCTTGATAACACTTCCAGTTGTAATCGTAATCATCATCGCTATCGATAGGGTGATGCTCAAGTGTTAAAGAAAGACGTAAATTTTGATTTTGATTTTCATCATCATTATCTTCAGATGATGCATATTGATCCATTTGATCTTGATTTAAAAGTGGGTGGGAATTTTTTTGATTGCTTTCTTCAGCTTGATTTTCTTCTTGTTGTTGGTTTCCTGGTGAATCTGGATCCTGATAACACTTATACTTGTAGTTAAATTCTTCATCACTATCTATAGGATGATGTTCAAGAGTTAAACCGAGTACTATTGGTTCGGGTTCTTTATGATTTTTTAAAAACTCTTGAAAATTATTTGCTTCTATTTGTTGCGATAAGGTCATCTCCCCAATTTGACTCTCTTCTTTTTCATTTTCTTCAATTTGTTCTTGACTAATCTCATCTGGCTCTTTTTTTTGAGATGGTGATTTTTGGGTTGCTGGTGGGGAATTTGGATCCTGATAACACCTATATTTGTAGTTAAATTCTTCATCACTATCTATAGGATGATGCTCAAGAGTTAATGAGAGGTGTAATTGTTGCTCCTCTTCATTATTTTCTAAATTTTTTTCATTAACTTCTTGTTGTTGATCTTCATTTTTTTCTAAATGTTGTTGATTAACTTCTTTTTGTTGCTCTTCATTTTGTTCTAAATGTTGTTGATCAACTTCTTGTTGATCATTTTGAATAACTAATTGTTCTTGTTCATCTTCTTGTTGTTGATGAACTGTAAAATAATTAACAACCAAAGTAGTTGGTTGGATTAATTGGGTTAACTTAAATTTCTTTATCATTTTTTCGGCTGTTGTAACACCTTCATTAAAAAATGATTTATTTTCTCCTCTTGCGTAAAATGTTTGGATAATCATATCCTTTAATAAATCCACTATTTGTTGTGGAGTTAATTTCATTTTTGAAAAATTATATTGAAAAAATTGTGATATTGTGTATTTGTAAAAAATGTAATAAAATAAAAATGTATGATATATAAAAAAGATAATTGTAATATAAGATATTGTGATATTGTGTATATATAAAAAATGTAATAAAATAAAAATGTGTATGATATATAAAAAAGATGATTGTAATATAAGATATATAAAATAAAATTATAAAAATATGTAGTGTATATATTTATAAAAAATTTTATAAAAAAAGGTATAAAAAAAAAATATTTAAAATAAAATTTAAAATTAAATTTTTTTTTTATTAAAATTTTTTTTTTTTTTTTAATTAATATTCTATTAAAGAATAAAATAATTATATATTTAAAGCATTGAATTTAAAACAATCAAAAATAGTTATAATAACTCGATAATAAATACAATCATGGTAATATTAATATGTTTCCCACATTTTTTTTAATAAAAAACACACAATGTTATCTAATTCACCCCTTTCCTAAATCAATTAAAAATGTCATTTTATTATAATAATTAATAAAATATAATTATAATGATTCATATATTTGTTGGTAACTATAATCTATATTCAATAATTAGGCCTATTTTAAATTATTAATAAATGAACTTGACATCTTTTCTTGGGTCAACTTGGAACGTGTATATATTTGATAAATTTGATTCATTAAATTCTTCACTGATTAATATAAGATCACCTAAGCATGTACCATTAGTCTCTGAAAAATTTGCTGACCTCTTCCAAATTAATTTTCTAGTATTACTTTAAACTTCACCTTCTAGTATAATAATTCTTAAAAAAAAAAATTTTAATATTAAATTTTAATACAAAAAATTTAAATAAATACACACCTATTCCATTGATTTAAATATTCAATATGTTTTTGAGTTTTAATAATCGGTTTTATCTGAAAACAATTTCCCTAAATTAATCGAAACTTCATTACCATTTTCGATAGCCTTATGACATTACTATATATATTAAATTTATGAATCATGTAAATACTGAATAAATATATATGCTATTTAATAAAAGAGTGAAAAAAAAGTGTAATATAAAATATGAATAAAAAGAGGGGAAAATAAAAATAAAAAATAATTATAAAATTTTAAAATTAATTTTTTTTAATTTTTTTTATAATAAATCATTTTTTTTACAATAAACCAATAACTATTTGGGATATAAAATAACAATTGCTAAATACTGAATTTATAAATAATCAAAAATATGTAATGGTAATTTTAAATAATATTTAAAAATAAACATATACCACATTTTTAAAAAACACCCATTATTATTCCAATTCACCTATTTTTAAAAAACAATATCATTAGTTAATTCATTTTTCAACCTCTTCAATAAGAAAAGGCAATTAATATTTATTAGACAAAAAATACCCTTATAAAATTATAAAATAGGTGTTGATCACTAGTTATAGATGAATAAATATTGTTTTTTAATTTTTATAAAAATATATTTAAAGTGAGAAAAATTTTATTTATGTGTTATTTATATACATTATATTATACAATTGCTGTTTTTTTTGTTGATTATTATTGCTAATATTTGAAGTTTAACTATCTAAAAGCTTTTCATGCATATCAAAACCATTAAGATTAAATTGCTTTTTTAGATAAATTAGATGATGAACACTATTAAAATGAATTTTATCAACTGATGGAGGTAAAGAATTTGCTCTAATTACTAGGGAATCTGAACCAAGGTAAAGACTTTCTAAATTTGGTGGTAACCATTGATCTGAAACATCGTGTAATGCTATTCCTTCATGAATATATAGAGTTGTTACTGATTTTGGAATTAAGGTCTTCAAATATTCAAAAGAACAATGATAAATTTTACCAATCTTGAGTGTTTTTAAATTTTTTAATGATCTTATAAAACCTATATATGAAGCTTCGTACACCTCGCCAAATACCAATGTTTCTAAAGAGGATGGAATAGTATAAATTGACATTAAATTACCACCATAATGAACAAGATCTTTAAATTGCAAGTACTTTAAGGTATCTTTACTATTTGCCATAAAAGATGGTGCTATTGGGGTATTTACTATACCAGAAATTACCAACTTTTCAATATTTGGTGGCAAGGTAATTAAATTGATATTTTCATAAAACATTGAAAACATATCAAATTCTTTTACTGAATTAAAAATTGAAAAATTTGGATTGTTGATATCGACATCTTTATTTGAGTATTTCAAATACATTAGATTATAGGTTTCGTTTTCTTTTAATAGACCCCCCAAACTAATATTTGACATTAATCCATCTAGAGTTAAACTTTTAATTGATAGTGGTAGCTTGATAAGTGACATTTGTTCCTCTGTAAGACGCAAATCTATGATTTCAAGTTTTTCTAAGGAGTCTGATAAAACATTACTATCTAAAACTTCGATTGAGTGTGGTAGTCTTAAATGTTTAATATTTATAATTGATTCACTTTGCAACTCTTTGATACTGGACCCTTTGAATATTAATGTTTCTAATGATATTGGAAAAATATCTTTACAAATTGATTGAGCAAAACCACTTCCAAATTCTAAATAACTTAATGTTTGTGGAATAACTGAAATTTTTTCTAAACCATCACTATAATCATCATTATTGTTATTATTATTATTATTGGTATTATATCCTTTTGATTTGAATAATTTTAATGGCAAAATACTAATTTGGTTACTATTATCACTATTAAATTTACTAACCAATAATGATTGATTAAAACTATTTCCAAATTTTAAAGTTTTAATATTTGAAAAACAATTGAATTTTAATGGTTGGTTAAATAAAGAATCTTCACTAAAATTGAGCTCCTCTAAAGAATTTGGAAAAGTATTTGGTTCAATAACTTGATTATAGTCTCTGCCCAAATAAATAGACTTTAACTGAGTGCATTTCTTAAAGGTTCTTGAATTGAATGGTTTATTATATAACTGACCAAATGAAATAGTTTTTAAATTTGATGGTAAAAAATGTTCATTTGCGAATTTAATGTTGAAATCCTCAAATGATAAAAACTGAACAGAGTCTGGAATAGAATTATTATAAATAATACAACTGCCAATTATTTTTAAGGTTATAAGTGAACTTGGTAAGACATTCCTTTCTATTGTTGAAGTAATTCCTAATGTTAAATTCTTTAAACCAACTGGGAAACTTTGCATGACTTGTTTATGGAATTTATAACTCTTGGTATTATTAATATTTTGCTTATAGCTGTCTTTATCGTGGGACATTGATATTTGTAAATGGGATATGCTTGAATCCTTTAAATAGTTAAATAAACTTTTCTTTTTTAAACTATCCATTTGAGTGCTGATAAAATATGGTTTTATATTTAATTTATCGATATCATTTGGAATATCATTTAAAAAGCTACTATTGTTGATCACAAATGATTTGCAGTAATAGTAATTTTCATTCGATAATAGATGATTTAAAAATGGTTCACTATTAAGATTTAAATAACTAATATTATACAACTTAAAAAGTGCCAAGTGTTCGAATATAACTTTTCTAATTAAAATATTTTTCCATATTTTATAAAATAATATACTATTGTTTATATTATAACTATTATTATCATCCATTTTTTATTGTTAATTGTTTATGATCAACTATTAAAAAAAAAAAAATATTTATATCCATTTTTTATTTATTAAAAAAAACAATAAAATAAAAAAATTGAAAAAAACAAATTCAAAAATTTGGGTAAAATAAAAAAAAAGTAAATTTAAAAATTTAGGGTTTTTTTTAAAAAAAAAATTAAAATAATTAATCTAAAAATATCCCTTTTATTATAAAATCAATGATATTATTATAAAATAAAAAAATCTTTTTTAAATTTTATAAAAAATCACCAAAATATCTTTAATATTAAATGAAAATATTTCAATATATTTTTTTGGATGATTTTATTTTAAACTTTAATTTTCAAAATATTATCAAATGAATGAGTTTTTGTTTTTTTATTTTTTTTTTGTATAGGTTTTATAATCATCAAAGCTTAACACATTGCATACAAGTTGGGCATCAAATAGTCAATTTGGTGTGTGATTTTAAAAAACCTTAAAGAGAGGTTATAACCAGAAGTTATCGCGATTGCTTGTTTATATGTGTTATTGGTTATGTGTGAGGATTTATAATATTATAAATAGGTGTTTGGAAAGTTACTAAGAGTCAATTCTTTCAACCACTAATCTTTGTAATGAACAAGGATCATTGCTTAATAATAACCAATAATAATAATCAACAATTATTTTAATTTATCAAAAAAAAAAAAAAATAAAAAATAATAAAAATTTTTCGAATTTTATAAAAACATAAACATTTAATATAACTTTTATTTTATTTAACTATTTGATCCTAGTACCTTATATCTTAAATTGCCTCCCCCTTGGGACATCATTACTCTCGAAAAAAAAACCCCTCATCAATCACCTGGAAGATTTAAGCACTAAAAAATATTTGCAAGCGGCGAGATTCGAACTCGCGAACCAGATGGATGAGAACTTGAGTCACACGGATTTGACCGCTTTCCTACACTTGCAACTGATGAAAACTGATATTGGTTCGAAAATTTTATAATAAAAAAATTATTTTTTAAGATAATTTTTGAATAAAATTATTAAATATAAATTAAAAAAAAATAAAAAACAATTTAAAACCTGTTAAAAAAGAATTTTTAATAATTATTTATTATTTCTAAATATTTTAGAAATAATAATAAAAAAAAATTGCATAATAAAATAATTCTATATTTTCATTTTACATTAAATGGCTAATTAAATTTTTCTTTTATTATTATTTAATTAAAGAAAATATAAACACTTTTTTTTTTTTATATGCAAAAAAATAAATTAGATAAAAAAAAAAAAAGTGGTTGGAGGTGAATGTTTTTAAAATAATAATAAAAATTAGTGAATAAAGATTCTTCAAACAATATTTACATTAAAAATTTAATATATATATTTCAATGGCTCCATACCCAACTTTTTCAAAAGCCATTCAATTTAAACCATACAACCATCAATTTTACTTCAATCTCTTTAAAAAATAATTTTATTTTTATAATCATCCACTTATAAATATAAAAATAAATAAAACTGTGTTTTTTTTTAGAACTAAAGATACTTTTAAAATTTTTTCATTTTCAAAAAAAAAAATAAAAAAAATAAAATAATAAACAATTTTGACTTAAAAAAAAAGTTTTAATTTTTTTTTATTGAATCATATTTTTTAACCCAATGGTTAAAAACAAAATAAATTAAATATAATTAATTTAGTTCTTGTTTTTTTCGACGTATTCCATGAGGAATTTGTAGTCTTCTGATTCTTTACCGAAGGTTCTGATGGCAATTGATGAAGCAGCAACGACTTTACGAGCAGTGGCGTCTTTATCTAATTTGCAGAGACCAGCCCATTCACCGAGTAATTTGTTGTTTGGGACAACAATGAGTGGGATGTTGTGTTCAGTGCATAAAGCTTTGATTAAACGGACGTAGTTTGGTTCGTCACAGTTTTCGGCTAAGACACAGAGACGGGCAGTACGTTTGTCGAGTGATTTGACGACTTCGTGTAAACCTTTAACAACACCTGAGATGGCTAATGATTCTTTGATGACCTTTTGGAGGGCAACCATTGGGTCGGTGTTTTTTTCTAATGGATTGGTGGATACAACATCTCCTTCTGACATTTTGCTATCTATATTTATATTAAGAAGTCCTTACTGTATAATAATAAATTTATAATTAATATACAATTCATTCAAAATATATATCCCATCATGATATGTATATGATTGTGATTGATTATGATTTATCTATATGGATTGATGATGATTATAACATTTTTTTTTATTCTAATCCAAGATATTGACGGATGATAGTGGATATATGATATATATGAAACCTACATGCGAATTCCAAAAAATATGAATAATCAAAAAAATTTAAAAATTTTGATTTTATTCGACCATAGCCAAAAAAAAAAATTTTAAAATTTTTAAAAAAATTTTTTTTATTTTTTTTTTTATTTTTAAAAAAAAACGTTATAAATTAAATATTTATCATATAATATTTATATTGATATATTTTAATATCCAAAAAAAAATTTTTTTTAATTTTTTTTTTAAAATGGGTTTTAATTTTTAAAAAGATAATTTTACAAAAAAAAAAAAAAAAAAAAAAAACCACAAATAAATAAATTCAATTGAATTTGTAAATAAAATTTATTTTTTTTTTTAATTTTTTAATTTTTTTTTTAATTTTTTTTTTGTTTTTATTGTGATTGAATATATTATTATAAAATTAAAAAAAAAGGAAAATAATAATAGCATTTTGTTTTTTTATTTTTATTTTTCTCTTATTTAAATAATAACAATAGTTAATTAATTAATTCTATGTATAATAATATATAATAAATAATAAATAATAAAATAATTATTTAATTTGTAAATTAGTTTTTTTTTTTTTTCTTTCTTTTTTTAAATTATTTTCTTTTTTTCTTTTTTTTTTTTTATATTTATATATTTTATATAATAGTAGTTTATTAATAATTAATAGTTATCATTAAATTCAATAACTATTTAAATTAATATAAATAATAATGGATCCAGAAAAATTAAAAGAATTTCAAGATAGATATGAATTAGAATCAATGGGTATTATTGGCGATGACGAAGATCAAGAGTATAACAATTATAAACTATCAATAGAGAGTGGTGGTAATGGCATGATGATAGACGATTCTAAATCACAATACACAGCAACTTCACAACCAGTTTTAGATGACGATGAATATGAAAGACAGGCCCAAATAGCATTAAAACAACAACAAGAAAAGCAAAGACAAATGGAGTTGGAAATGCAAAAAGAGTTTGAAAGATTAGCAGCAGAAGGTCAAGGTGAGCCTGAAATCGATTTTGAAGAAGAAGAAAGAAAGCGACAAGAGGAAGCAAGAAAAAGATTTTTAGAAAAACAGAATAGAATGAAAAATTCACCAAAGAAAAAGACACCAGAGGAAGAGGAAAAAGAAAGACAACGTTTAGAAAAACAAAAAGAAAGGGATGCACAAAGAGAATTAATGAAACAGGCTTTGGGTGGCAAACAAGTTATTAAAAAAGATGATAATGATAGTGCATCAAACGAAAAACCAGTTCAAAATCAACCACCAGTAGAAGAGCAACAAGTATCACAACCAACGCCAACTCAATCAACTTCACAGCCAGTATTAGACGACGATGAATATGAAAGACAGGCCCAAATAGCATTAAAACAACAACAGGAAAAGCAAAGACAAATGGAGTTGGAAATGCAAAAAGAGTTTGAAAGATTAGCAGCAGAGGGACAAGGTGGACTTGAAATCGACTATGAAGAAGAAGAAAGAAAAAGACAAGAGGATGCAAAAAGAAGGGTACTTGAGAGACAAAATAAAATGAAACAACCAGCTCAAGCCAAAACACCAGAGGATGAAGAAAAAGAAAGACAACGTTTAGAAAAGCAAAAAGAAAGAGATGCACAAAGAGAATTAATGAAGCAGTCTATAGGCAGTAAATCATCATCCCAAAAAGAAAAACCACAAGAAGATCTCTCAGAAAAAATACCAGTACAAGAACCTACACCAGTAGAGCAACCAATTGCATCACAACCAGAACCACGCCTACGTTGCTCTCAGCCAGTTTTAGTGTTCGATGAATATGAAAGACAAGCCCAAATAGCATTCAAGCACCAACATGAAAAACAAAGACAAATGGAATTGGAAATGCAAAAAGAGTTTGAAAGATTAGCAGCAGAAGGTCAAGGTGAGCCTGAAATCGATTTTGAAGAAGAAGAGAGAAAGCGACAAGAAGAAACTAGAAGAAGGGTATTAGAAAGACAAAATAAAATGAAGCAACCAGCAAAAGCCAAAACACCAGAGGAAGAGGAAAAAGAAAGACAACGTTTAGAAAAACAAAAAGAAAGAGATACACAAAGGGAATTAATGAAACAAGCTATGGGTGGTAAATCATCAACACCCAAAAAAGAAATTCCTCAAGAACCAAAGGAAGATCAATTAAAAGCAACACCACAACCACCATCACCAAAAGCACCATCACCACAACCACCAATAGAGCAACCACCAACAGAGCAACCACCATCTCAGCCACAAGCAGCTTCACAAATAGATGACGATGAATACGAAAGACAGGCTCAAATAGCATTAAAACAACAACAGGAAAAGCAAAGACAAATGGAGTTGGAAATGCAAAAAGAGTTTGAAAGATTAGCAGCAGAAGGTCAAGGCGAACCTGAAATCGATTTTGAAGAGGAGGAAAGAAAGCGACAAGAGGATGCAAAAAGAAGGGTACTTGAAAGACAAAATAAAATGAAACAACCAGCTAAAGCTAAAACACCAGAGGATGAAGAAAAAGAAAGACAACGTTTAGAAAAGCAAAAGAAAGAGATGCACAAAGGGAATTAATGAGACAAACAATGAGTGGTAAATCATCAACACCTGAAAAGGAAAACTCACAACCAGCAGAAGAAACAAAAATTGAAAATAAACCAGCACCACAGCCAGTAGAGCAACCAATTGCATCAAAACCAGCACCAACTCAATCCAGCTCACAACCAGTAACAGATGATGATGAATATGAAAGACAAGCTCAAATAGCATTAAAGCAACAACAAGAAAAGCAAAGACAGATGGAACTTGAAATGCAAAAGGAACTTGAAAGATTAGCAGCAGAAGGTCAAGGTGAACCTGAAATCGATTTTGAAGAGGAAGAAAGAAAGCGACAAGAAGAAACTAGAAGAAGGGTATTAGAAAGACAAAATAAAATGAAACAACCAGCAAAAGCCAAAACACCAGAGGAAGAGGAAAAAGAAAGACAACGTTTAGAAAAACAAAAAGAAAGGGATGCTCAAAGGGAGTTAATGAAACAGGCTATGAGTAATAAACCAAAACCACCAAAACAAGAAGAACCACAACCAATTCAAGAGCAATCAAATAATGATGATGAATATGAAAAACAAGCACAAATAGCATTAAAACAACAACAAGAAAAACAAAGACAAATGGAATTAGAGATTCAAAAAGAGTTTGAAAGATTATCAACTGAAGAAAATCAAAATGGGCCATCAGAAGAAGAGCTTGAAGCAGAGGCAAAGAGAAAGGAAGAAGAGGTTAGAAAAAGATTTTTAGAAAGACAAAAGCAACAGCTTCAAACTAAGAAACCAATCGATGAAGAAAAAGAAAAAGAGTTAAAAGAAAAACAAAGAGAAAAGGATCAACAAAGAGAATTAATGAAGCAAGCTATGAACAGTGCCAAAAGCCAAAATCAAAATCATAATCAAAACATTAATGCTGAACATGAAGAAATTAAATCAGTGGAACCACACCATCAACCATCATCGGTACAACATTCACAACCACAACCAATTTTACAACAGCAACAACAACAACAACAGCAACAACAGCAACAACAACAACAACAACAGCAAAACCAATTTTATCAACCACAGTATGGTAGTCCAACTCATCATAATCAATATCAAAATATGTATCAACATTCACCACACCATAATCCACATCAATTCAGTAATAATACACAATCACCACCAGTCCACATGTATCCATACCCACCCCAAGCTTACTTTTATCCACAAAATACAGCAATGTTTACTCAAGAAGATGTCGATCGTCTTTTAGAAAAACAAAAGAAAGAGATACTAAAGCAGGTAAGGTTTCATTAAACATAAATCTATATTATTATAATTTGTTAATATTTATTTTTTAAAAAAATTTAGTGTTCCGATGAAAGTGCAATTTTAACATTCGAATTTGAAGATATACAATTAAAATTGGAAAGAGAACAAAGAAGCTGTTTAACATTAAAAGGTTTACTATCACAATATGAAAACACAATGAAACAGATGATTGATCAACCTGCACCAGTACCACAAAATTCCGCAAAATTAAGTGAAGCTTTAATTGATAATGAACAATTAAGAAAGGTAAAATTTTAAATAGAAAATAATAATTAATTTTAAATATAATAATAATAATAATAATAATAATAATAATAATATAAAATAATAATAATTAATTGTTTTTTTTTTAAAAAAAACCTCACACCAAACTTTCCTTTTTATTAATATCTCATTTTTATTTTATTATTTTTAATTTAGCAAATTTTTGAATTAAAAGAAACAAACTCGCAACTTAATAAAGAGATTCAAATTCAAGTTTCTAAATTTAATGCCCTAAAAGCACATGCAGAGGCAAAGTTAGATAACGCATCAGAACAATTAATCAAAATAAAAGAAGTTGCTAAAAAAGAAATTGATGTATTAAGTGTAAAATTAAATCGTTCAGAATCTAAATTGGTTCTTAAAGAAAAGCAGTGCGAAGAATTAGAGAAACTATGCGACGAATTAATTTCAAAATTACAAAATTCAGAAAATAATGTTTAAATATTTAAATAATATTAAATATTTAATAAATATAGAATATACAAATAATATAAACATAAATAAATAAATAAAATAATTTAAAAATAAATAAATAATTATTTAAACAATCATTTAATAGGTTTTTTTTTTATTTATTTTTTTATTTATTTTTTAATTTTTTTTAATTTTTTTAATTTTTTTTTTTTTTATTAAATTTTTAAAAACGAAAATTTTTTTTTTTTTTTTTTTTTAATTTTTTTTCTTAATTGTTGCCATTAAATATTAAAATATAAATTTATTATTTTCTTTTCATATGAATAGTAGTGATAGTGCTCATATAGAAAAATTACAAGAGGATATTTTAGATAAACTTGGTAATTTAGTAAAAAAGGTTGATATATTAGAGGGTTCAGATAAATTAAATAATAATATAGATAATAACAATATAAATAATAACAAAATGGAAACTATTGAAGAAACTACTACATTAAACAACCAAGAGTTACAAAAAGAAAACATCGTTGATGAGGCTCAAGTTGAAGAAATTAAAAAAGAAGAAATTAAAGAGGAGATTAAAGAAGAAATTAAAGAAGAAAATAATGAAGACAATAGAGAAGAGTCCTCACCATCTGAAGAAACTTTAGTCGAAGAAGCTAAAGTTGAACCAGTTGTTGAACCAGTTGTTGAACCAGTTGTTGAACCAGTTGAAGAAGAAGAAGAAGTTAAAGCTGAAGAGTCAGTAGTTATTGAAGATGTTAAAATTGAAGAACCAGTTGCTGAACAACCAATCATTGAAGAACCAATTGTTGAGCAACCAATCATTGAAGAACCAGTTGTTGTTGAAGAAATTAAAGCTGAAGAACCAGTTGTTGAAAAACCAGCTGTAGAAGAACCAGTTGTTGAAGAGCCAAAGGTTGAACCAGCTGTAGAAGAACCAGTTGTTGAAGAACCAGTTGTTGAAAAACCAGCTGTAGAAGAACCAGTTGTTGAAGAACCAAAGGAATCTGAAGAAAAACCAACCATCGAAACTGAGACCGATGATGAAGAAACACCAGTAGATAATAATAATAATAATAATAACAATGATAGCGAAGAGGATGATATAATTGGTAAAAAAGAAGATAAAAAAGAACAAGAAGAAGAATCAGAATCAGAAGGAGAAGAAGAGGACAATAAAGTTGTCGAAGAGGAAAATGATGAAGAAGATCCAAATATTTTATCAGCTGCAGAACTTTCAACTTTTTACAAAGTCGAAGGTAACGAATATTTCAAACATGGTATCTATTTCGATGCTATTGAAAGTTATACCAAAGCAATCTCAATTAAACCATCACATCTTTTATACTCAAATAGATCAATTTCTTATTATAAATTTGGCTTATTTGAAGAATCACTCCAAGATGCACTCGAATCAATTAAACTCGATCAAAAATGGGTTAAAGGTTATCACAGAGCTGGTCAAGCTTTAGAAAAATTAGATAGAAAGGAAGAAGCTATTAAATTTTATAAAGATGGTCTTGCCATCGAACCAGAACATCAAGTTATTACTGAAGCTTTAGAAACTATTTTAGCAAAAGACAAGAAATCAGATCAAAACGAAGGTAAAAAATCAAGTGATGACCCAAGCTCGGATAGCGATAGCAGCTCCGATAGTGATAGCGATAGCTCAGATAGTTCAGACTCTGAATCAGACTCTGGTGATGATATCGACGAAGAAGTATCTGATAAATCTAAAGCTATTGTCCCATATGGAACCGCCTTCAAATGGGCTTCAATTGCTGGTGCCATTGCCGTTGGTTACATTGTTTATAATAAATACTTTAAAAAATAAATTAATCACAATATTAATTTTAAAAATATAAAAAAAATAAAGAAAATAAAAAGATAACTAAAAAAAAAAACTATAATTAAATAAAAGAAAAGCAAGTATGTGTAATAATAAAGTTTATTAAAACATTTGGTTTTTTTTTAATTTAATAATCTATATTGAAAGATTTTGTTTGGTCTAATGTTGTTTTTAAATTTGATATTGTATGCACCCCATTCACCCCCCCGTAATTCTAACTTTAATTCTCCTATCATAGGGAGACCAATAATAATTACCATAAAATCTTCTACAACTTCGAATTTACCAAACATTGTAAAGGGATTTCCCTCATTAGAGATTAGTTCAATACCTATATCTATAACTCCGGAGGAGGGTACAAGCTGATTATTGAGGGTTCTAATTATAACATTAGACTTTTTCAGTTGATTTAATAATGAGTTGGGTAATAATGATTTGGGTATTATGTTAACACCAGATCCAATTGAAAAAATAATGGTATCTTTTGGTAGGTCTTCATCAGCCAAATTTACCATACATCCCACTACATTCTTTTCATTGTTATAATCTGGTTGGTTTTTGGCATGGATATTTCTATTCATTTTTATTATAGTTTTTATTATAGTTTTAATTATTTATAATTATTTGGTTAATTGTTTAATTATTTATAAAAAAAAAAAAAAAAAAAAGATGAGGAAATATTAAATTATTTAATATTTTTTAAATAAAAAAAAAAAAAAAAAAAAAAAAATTATTTTCCTCCCCCCTTTTTTTTTAATTAAATATTATTTTTTATTTTTAAATTAGAAATATGGTTTTATATATTTGGTTTTAATTTTTAATTTTTATAATTATTTGAATAAATACATTTTTCTATTTTTAGTTTTTTTTTTTTATTAGTTATAATAATAACTTTCACCCGAGTTTACTAAAAAGAATACATTATTATGCATTAAAACTAGTGTTATTGGAACTATAAAGCAGTTTATATTAATATATGTTAAAAGATTTAGATTTTTTCTAAATAATTGGATTGGATGGTTTAAAACTGAAATATCGTATTTAACTTGGAATAAATAACGAATAAATAAAAACATCATATAACCAAGGAAACTTGAAAACAAAGCATATATAATTATTAACATAAAAGCTTCAAGAGAAATGTCAAATGGATAGTATTTAGCATTGTTTGAAAATCTTAAGCATGTTGCAAATAAAATATATATTAAAGGTACTGAACAATAGCTAGAATTAGAAAAATAAAAAAATTAATATTTTATAAAAAATAAAAAGAGTAAAATTATATATAATAATTACCTTAAAAATGTATAAAATACTCTATCTACAACTCTAGTCATATGTTCATTTCTTTCCATTGAAATTGGGAATAGTTGACCTAAAACAGTGTAATATGGTTTTTCAAAACTATTTACAGAGGATAACCAGCTATTTGCTCTGGTTCTTTCGTAATGACCTTTGACAATATTTCTATAATTCCAATATTTTTCAGATAAAAAGAAAAGGTAACGTAACATTAAAAGAACCCTAATTAAAATTAAAATTAAAAAGTTTAATTTTGTAAATCTGCTATATAACCAACAAACTGTCATTTCGGTTATTGATTCAGTCCAAAAGGCTATGATATTATGCTGATTAATTGGACAGTATTTTCGGGTTACCCACAACATTGCTTGAGTTAGCAAGAAAGTTTTGAAAAAAAAGATTAACATTACCAAAGTTTGAGCTTCTATTAATGAGAAAAATATAACAAAGGTAACACATAGAAATTGACCCATTATTAACAAAACTACAAATATCATAAAGTGAACAAAATCCATGAAAAAGGAATATTTAAAACGATCTGGTGATACAATATAAAGAATAATTGGTAAAACTACAGCTGTCATTCCAAATGAGACACCAATAACAACTGGTGGCGGGTAACTCTTTGAATACTGACTGATAAACGAAAATGTTAATGACGTTAAAATGGTATGAATTGCTAATGGTAATAACCACATATTAATTCCTTTAACAAAGATTCTTGCCCAACCTACAACCATCATGGATATTAATACAGTTACTACTGGTATATACATAATCGAATATTCCCAACCTGGTAAGAAACCTGGATATGGTTTTGATAGGGGTAGTAATACCGTAAAAAAAGTTGCAACCATAGGAATTAAATAAATTTTAATCATAAATGTGAAATTCTCTGATAACTGGTTAGCTTTATTGTATTTTGAAACTGGTATTGGGTTCTGCATTGAATTTATTACAAAAATTTTATCTTGTTGGTAATAGGGTTGCACAAAATTGTTTGCTTGATATGCACTCGACGAATAACTGGGTTTTATATTTGCACCATCATATTCATTTTCGTTTAATGGTATTGGGATTTCTTGAAAGTATCCATTTTGATTTGAATCTTGTTGGTTATATGAATTATTTAAATTATTATTCATATTATTACTACTATTATAATTATTCTGATTATTATTATAAATATTATTACTGATATTAGGATTTAAAATATTACTATTTATTATGCTATTGCTTACACTTTCTGTTAACAAATATTGAGATCTAGATTGAGAATATGATAATCCTGATAAATGTTCATTTATTTCCATTGAATGGAAATTTTATTTTAAAAAAAAAAAAATTAATAATGAAATCTTTATTTTTTTTAAAATTTTCAATTTATTATTTAATAAAGTAAAATAGTATTTTAAAAAATATGAAAAAAAAAAATTTAAATTAAAGAAAAAAAAAAGAGAAAAAAAAAACAAAACAATAACCTTGTGTGAATTTATTTATTAATAATTAAAAATATAACTATATATATTTTAAAAATAAAAATTTAAAGAAATGTAATAAATTTTAAGATTTTTTGTAATTTATTATTTATTTTAATGATATCACTATTTTTTTTATTATTTATTTTAAAATTAATTTAAAATCACACATATATTTAAAAAACAATTAGATCTATTTAAAATATCTTTTAATATTTTCATTAGGGCGGTAATGATATCAACCCTATTAGAAATGACAAATGGTGTGTGTGTGATTTGATTAATTTTTTTTTTTTGTGTGTGTCGTGATTTATTTTATTTTATTTTAACAACCCACATTAAATAAATATATATTAACAATATAAAAAAATAAACACAATTCTAAAAATGGTGAACTAAAAAATAGATTTATACTAAAAAATTATATTTTGATAATATTGGCTTTTAATCTTATTATAATACCCTTTAGTTTAATAAATAATAATAAGTATAATGATTTATAATTGATGTTAATTATAAAGAGTGAAAAAAAAAAAGTGAAGAATAAAAAGAGAGAAGAGAATTAATGATATTAAATAAATTAAATAAAATAAAATAATAAAAATAAATAAATATATTTTTTTTATTAAATTAATTTATTTAAAAATAACCCACATTTTTTATTTTTATATTTTTAACTATTATTAAAATAAAATCATAAAACCCAATACTTTAAAATATCTTTATATCACACACAGAAAACCTCAGTATAAAGTACTACTACTATTTTATGTAAAAATAAAATTATAATAGAATGAGATGTATACTATTTATATTTACTTTATTTTTTTAATAAAGAACAACACAATATTTAAAATAATCTTACAACATTAATCAAAAAAAAAAATAAAATAAATTTATCGACTTTAATAACAACAATTACTACTTTAATTATTTTATATAGTGATATACTATTTTTTTGTCAAAATAATATTTAAAAAAAAAAAAAAGAGAGAAGATAATAATTTTTTTTTTCTAACATATTCTCACACAAAAACTTTTTATAATGATGAATCAGACCCACCTTCCCCCTATCATTATAATATTTAAACGAAAGAAAGAAAGAAAAATTGTATCATTTATATTTATAAAAAAAATTGAATATCAAAAAAATAATATTTTTAAAATACATACAACAATTAAAAGTGTATTTATTGATGTATATAATAAAAAATAGTTTGGTGGGTGTAATATTAACTATTAATATTCGAAATTTAAAAAAGATTTTATAAAAATTTGTGAAAATACTACCCAATACTATTTCCTTATAAATGTGTTTAAATTATAAAAATTTATTTTTATTTTAAATGTTTATAATTATTATGATGTATATTTAATTAATAGATTATCTATATTTGATTTCTCTATACTAGTATCAACATTATTATATAGTGAGTTTATAATTGAAGCTATTTTTTGTTTTTCATCTTTAGAAATAAATTGAATGTTTAGATTGATACGATTGATTTTTAAAATATTATTTAAAATATTAAAAATTAAATTAAATTCTTTATTTCTATAAAATAAATAATAAAAAATTAGTTTTGATTTTTTTTTAAATTATTATTTTAAAGGTATACATACGCTAAATAGTAGTCTTCTAAAATTTTAACAATATCGGTAAATAATGAAGGTGTTAAAGCTTCATCTAAAATTCTTGGGATTTGGTTTGGATCTATAAGTTTAAAGTATTGATATAATGATGATAAGTCGCCTTTAAAAGAGTGATAAGTTCTTTCAAAATCAAAAGAGTTCTTTGGTGGGAACTTTGGTACTGGTGCTTTAATATTTGACATTCTACTTAATCTTTCTTGAAGTGATAATGGTTTATTAGCTGTTGTTGGAGTAGTAGTGGATGATGTAGTAGTAGCAGGTGATGTTGAGTTGGTCGATGAGGTGGAGATGGCGCTATTTGATTTGACAGTTTCAATTGGTGTCGCTGTAGATTGCTTTATTATGATTGGATCGGATATAGTTTCTATTTTACTAATTGGTTTATTTACAGTACTATTGTTATGATTGTTACCAACCTCTTGAATTTTAATTGATTTGCTTTTTTCCTCTTTTTCTTTTCTTTCTTTTTCAAATTTCTCTTTTTCTAATTTTTCTTTTTCCTTTTCTTTTTCTAAATTCTCTTTTTCTATTTGCTGTTTTTCTTTTAATAACCTTAAAGCTTTATTTAATTCATTTTGAATTTCTTTATTATTTGGGTCCTGGTTTAAAATATGCTTGAAATCTGATACTGCCTCTTCATATTTTTTCAACTCGATCCTTGCTAAAGCTCTTCTATGATAACACTTCATATATGATGGATCTAAAGTTAAACATCTTGTTGAGTCGATTTCGACTTGGTTATAGTTCTTTAGTTTTAAATATGCCATTGCTCTGTTTCCATACAACACCGCATTGGTTGAATCTAGTTGGATACCCAATGTATAATATTCAATTGATTCTTTATACTTTTGTTGACCAAACAATGCATTGCCTTTTTCCTTATACTTTATTGATTCATTTGTATTGTCTATTATATTATTTGAATTTGTATTTGTATTTTTATTATTTGTATTTATTGTAACTGTTGGTAATGCTGTTGTGTTATCAATCACTTTATTTTTTATAGGTTCAGTATTATTGATTTTTGATTTTTTTATTTCTGCATCTTTTTTTTTAATTTCGCTTTGCCAAATTTTTAAATCTTTTATATAATCATTCAAATATTGATTATTTTGTGTCATTATTTTAATTTTAAATTTAAAGATGAAATGTAATGAAAAAATAAAAATAAAAATAAAAATAAAAATAAAAATTAAAAAAATGAAAAAAAAAAAAAAAAAAAAAAAAAAAAAAAAATTTTTGTTTATTTTTTTTTGTTTAAAATTAAATTTTATAATTCAATTAATTATAAATTTATATCGCTCTATTATTTATTTATTTATTATATTTATAAATAAATATCAGATAAACCATGGATAAAATAAAAAGTTAAAACATTCAATGAATCATTTAAAATAGTCAAAAAAAAAATATAGAGATATTAAAGATCAAAACCAATTTCATAGGTTAAACTTAACAAATAAATGATAAAATACCATAATACAACAATAGTAGACATTAAAAGATTTTAGTTGATTAACGGGTATAATTAATAATCAAATAAACAATGACTCCGAGCCACATAAAAAAAATAAAAATAAAAATAAAAATTAAAAATAAATAATTTTAATTTCCGATCAAATAATAGTTATGGTTTTTTTTTATTTATTTTCTTTATTGTGTACATTTATTTCTTTAAATCACATTGGTTTTTTTTTTTTTTTTTTGCTTTTTTTTTTTATTACATTTGTTTTACCGAAAGGCTTAATTTAAAATATTTTTTTTTTTTTTTATTTTTATTTTTAATTTTTTTTTTTACATTTTTTCCAAAAGACGAGATAGGAAGAAATAAAAAAAAAATTACTTTGTTTATTTTTTTTTTCAATAATAATCAATATCTAAAAGTAAGGATCTAAAATTAAATTTTATTGCTCAAACACACACATACACCGCACACAGAGTTTTTATTGTTATTTTTTGTAACACAATAAAAATACCCCTCCAAATTATACACATACCCCCTCACGCGTGATATTCACTTTTATTTTTTTTATTTTTTTCAAATTTTTATTTTTTTTTAATATAATTTTTTTTTAATTTAAAATTTAATATTATAATTGAAAATACAATAATAATTTTTTTATATTTTATTTATTTATTTGTTTTTTATTATTTATTAAAATTAATTAAATTAATATTTTTTTTTTTATTTTTTTTTTTTTCAAAATCAAAACCCAAATCCCAAAATCAAAATCAAAATAATATCAAAAGAATAAAGAAAAGAAATGAAAAATAATATTTTAGTAATTGGATCTGGTAGTAGAGAACATGCTATAACATGGAAATTATTACAATCTAAAGATGTTGATAAAGTTATTTTAGTACCAGGTAATGCAGCTAATGCCACTATGGATAGAGTTATCAGTGTTCAATGTTCAAAGATTGACGGCGAATCCATTTCAAATATTTGTAAAGATTATAATGTAGAATTAGTATTTGTTGGACCAGAGGTACCATTAGTTGACGGTATTGCTGATCAATTAAAGAGAAAGGGTATTAGTTGTTTTGGACCATCAATGAAAGCCGCAGAAATTGAAGGTTCAAAAGTATTCTGTAAAGATTTTATGGCTAGAAATAATATTCCAACAGCAACTTATCAAACTTTCACAGATTATAATAAAGCAAAAGAATATATTGAAACATTAAATTATAATATAGTATTAAAAGTAAGGTTATTTATATATATGTATGACAATTGATGATTGAATAATTAATTAATTAATTAATGATTATTTTTATTTTAGGCATCAGGATGTGCTGCAGGTAAAGGTGTTTTAATTCCAAAAAATAAAGAAGAAGCTTTAAATTCATTAAAGAGAATTATGATTGATAAAGAGTTTGGTAGTGCCGGTGATGAAATTGTTATTGAAGAGTTTTTAGATGGTGAAGAATGTAGTTTAATGTGTTTTTCAGATGGTTATAGTTGTGTTGTAATGCCACCAGCTCAAGATCATAAAAGAGTATTTGATAACGATCAAGGACCAAATACAGGTGGTATGGGTGCCTATGCTCCAGCCCCATTCGTCATCAATACAAAGAGTGGTAAAGGTTCAAGTGGATTCGGTAGTATTATTGATCGTTGTGTTGAATCAATTTTAAAACCAACCATCAATGGTATGAGAAAAGAAGGTAGACCATTTGTTGGTGTATTATTTGCAGGTTTAATGGTCAATAAGCAAAATGGTGATATTAAAGTTTTAGAATTTAATTGTCGTATGGGTGACCCAGAGACTCAAGTAGTTTTACCATTATTAGAAACCGATCTTTATGAAATCGTTTCAGCTTGCTGCGATGGTCGTTTAGATAGCATCAATGTTAAGTGGTCAGATAAATATGCCGTTACTGTAGTTGCCGCCTCAAAAGGTTATCCAGATAGTTATCCAAAAGGTATTAAAATTCAAGGTCTCGAGAATAACAGTCACATCAATCAAGATAATATAATTTTCCAAGCCGGTACCATTAAGAAGGGTGATGAAATTTTAACAAATGGTGGTCGTGTTTTATCAGTCACAGCATTATCAACACAATTAGAGGATGCTATTCAAAAATCATACACACTTTTAAAGACTATCTCATTTGATGGTATGCATTATCGTTCAGATATTGGTCAAAAGGCATTAAATCATTTAAAAGAACAAAAAGAAAAACAAGAAAAATCAGTTTCATACAGCGAATCAGGTGTAGACATTGAAAGAGGTGATGCCGTTGTTGATAACATTGGCCCATTAGCTAAAATGACATCAAGATTAGGTTGTGTTAGTGATTTAGGTGGTTTTGGTGCATTATTCGATACTAAAGCTGCTGGTTTCAAAGATCCAATCCTTGTTTCAGGTACTGATGGTGTTGGTACAAAATTAAAAATTGCTCAAGAACTTGGTAGACACGATACTATTGGTATCGATTTGGTTGCTATGTGTGTCAATGATGTTGTAGTTCAAGGTGCTGAGCCATTATTCTTTTTAGATTATTTTGCCACAGGTAGAATTCATGTTAATGTAGCCACTCAAGTTGTTGCAGGTATTGCTAAGGGTTGCAAAGATTCAGGTTGTGCTTTAATTGGTGGTGAAACCGCTGAAATGCCAGGTATGTACAAAGATGGTGAATATGATTTAGCAGGTTTCTCAGTTGGTGCTGTAGAACGTACCCAAATGTTACCAAAGAATATTGCCCCAGGAAATGTTTTATTAGGTTTAGCATCATCAGGTGTTCATTCAAATGGTTATTCATTAGTACGTTATTTAATCGAAAAGAAGAGTGGTCTTACTTATAGTGACAAAGCTCCATTTGACTCTAGTAAAACTCTTGGTGAAGTCCTTTTAACCCCAACTAAATTATACGTTTTATCTTGTCTTGCTGCTATCAAGGCTGGTGGTGTCAACGGTTTGGCTCATATCACCGGTGGTGGTATCACTGAAAATTTACCAAGAGTTATTCCAGATGGTTTAGATTGTGAAGTTAAATTAAACAGTTGGGAAATTTTACCAATTTTCAAATATTTAAATCAATTAGGTAATATGGAAATCACTGAATTATTAAAAACATTTAATTGTGGTATTGGTATGATTTTAATTGTAGATCAAGATAAAGTTTCAAGTATTAAAGCAGTTTTAGAATCAATGAACGAAACAGTTTATGAAATTGGTAAAGTTGTACAATCAAATAATAAAAACCAAAAATCAAAAGTAGTTTATAATTAAATTAAATAAATATAATAAAATAAATAATAAATTAAAAATAATAATAATATAATATTATTATTAAATAAATAATGGTATTTTATAAAATAATAATTAAATTTTTTATTTACTTTTTTTTTTTTTTTTAAACTTTTTTTATTTTGAAATGATATAATTTGTTTTAGAGATTAAACCATTTTTTCTTCTTTTTATCAACAATATTTATATTATTTAAATTATTATTATTTGAATTGTTTGCATTATTTGATGTAAAATGGTTTGAATTGAAGTTGTTATTAAAGTTATTGTTTGAGTTGTTAGTATTGAATGATTTTAAATAGTAAAAGTTATTTTGATTTTTTATTAAACAGTTATTGATTTCTTTAATATGATCATCTTTAAAACAATTACCTTGCAAATCTAAAAGTTGGATAGATTTATTCAATTTAAAAATATTGATTATAGTATGATAGCATTTTTTTAAATTCAAATCTATAGTTTGTTGAGATTGTTGTTGGTTATTAATTGCCTGATTTTCAATAAGATTATTAAATGATAAATTTAAATTTATCAAAGAACTATTGGATTCTAAAGAGTTGAATATCATTATAAATGAATTTAATTGAATATTATTGTAGCTGAGGTCTAATACTTTTAAAGATTTGTTGTCTTTTAGCATTATGTTGATACTGTTGTCATTATTAGATGAATGAGTTGTTGTAGTTGTGGTGGTGGTGTTTTCATCAAATATTTTATTGTTTCTGAGATAAAGCTTCTTTAAAGTATTGTTTGAGTTTTTTAAAGATTCAAAAATATTTTTACATCCATTTAAACCTAAATAATTATCTGATAGATCGAGTAGTTTTAAATTTGAATTAACCTTTAACATTATTCCAAATTCGTATCCCACCTCCTCTGGTAATAGATTGTTTGATAAATATAATTCCGATAATGTTTGATTGAACGATAAGCTAATTCCCATTTCTATACCAGTATCTTTGCCGAGTTGATTATATATTAAGCTAAGTGATTTAAGTGAGGTATTCGCTTTTAAAGCTCTTGCAATTTTTTTCCCACATTCATCATCTAATTTTAAATAATTTAAATCTAAACGAGTTAAAGATTTGTTATATTGAATAGGTTCTGCTAAACCTAAATTAAACCCTTTTCCAAAGGTGTTATGACTGAGATTTAAATATTTTAAAGTTTTATTATCAATGAGGGATTTTAGTGAATCTATAAATTTAGAGTTTATTGAATTTGATGAGGGTGAGGAAGGTATCCAATGGTTTGCTGATGAGAATTGAAAATCTGTTCCACTTGAACCCATCATCCATGAATTTGATGCAGGTGGGGTTCCTAATAAAGACTGGTTTAGATTGTGTGTAGGACTGTTTAGTGATAGGAAATTTAAATTTAAATTGTTATTAAAGTTATTAAAGTTATTATTTATTGAAATCAAAATATTGTTATTTATAGGGCTATTTTGAAATGAGATATTGTTATTACTACTGTTCATGATATTATTATTATTATTATTGGTATTGTTACTAGTTGTTGTGTTGTTGTTAATTGTTACTTGGTTATATTGAATAACTGGTGTTAGTGGAGGTGATATACTAAAGTTTGTCATTATTGAATCTATTCTACATGTTGCTTCTAAATTTAACTCTGTTACTGTATTATTGTATGCTAAATTTTCTAAGATGGACTTTAATCCAGATGTTTTGAATTCATTAAAGCTCAGGTTGAGTTTTTTCAATGTTTTGTTGTGTCGAATTGTGTCACCTAAAAGGATTCCATCTTTTTCTCTTAAATAGTTTCTACTTAGGTTTAATTCGGTTAAACAATTATTGTTTTTTAGCGATGATATAATAAAACTTGAACCATTTGAAACTAGATCTAAATTCATCAGTTCTAATTTTATAATATTATAATGATTATAGTTGAGTAAAATATCCGATAGCTTTTGACCAAACTGATTTTCACAATCTAAACTATAATTTACCAAACTTAATGATTGGATTGTATTACATTCATTTAATAGTTGTTGTAATTTCCCATTTAGCAGTTGATATCCTCTTGGTGTTAATATCTCTGTGTTTTTAAAATTATTATTATTGCTATATGAAGTTGAAGTTGTATAAGAGGTTGTTCCATGGTTATTATTAGTATTATTATTATTTTGCTGAATTAGTTGCCTGGTTAAATAAATATCTGTAAATTTACATTCTCTGCCATTTTTTATAATTGGTTTGGTTATATATCTTAAAATATTTTCTAAATTACATGATTTAATAAAACAAAAGTGATATGGTATTATAGTTGTACCCCATTTCTTGCATACCAATGATAGTTTTACTAAACAATAAATAGTTGGTTCATTTTCGCTGACCTTTTCAATAATAATTGATAAAATATAATTTGGTAATGTTATAGTTTTATTCATTTAATTAGAAAAACTAATTATTATTATTTATTTTTATATTATTTTTATTATATTATAGTATTCTTTTATTATTATTATTAATAATATATTTATATTATTATATTTATAACTTGTAAAAAAATATTCAAAATAAAAAAAAAATTTTAAATTGAAAAATAAATATTTTAAATTTAAATAACAAACTTTATTTAATTACTATTACTAATATTATTACTACTATAATTATTTTATATTTTGTTTTAATAATTTTAATATAAAAAAAAAAAAAAAAAAAATGATTTTTTTAAAAAAAAAAAAAAAAAAATAAATTATTATTATATATACTATTTATATTTTTTGTTTAAATAATTTTATATGTATGGTTTAATACTAATAATAATATAAATAATAATGAAAACATATGATAATTTATTTAAAAAAGTTATATGATTGAAAAAATCCCTATCTAACCACCCACACAAAAAACAACACACACTCTCTTTAAAAACACACACCCACGCACACCCAAATCACACTGTCACTCCTATATTTGTATACATGTTTATTATTTGTTTTACATAAAAATTAATATTTTATCAATAATTATTTTAAACAATAATATTACTTTTATTTGTATGATATGATAAATATGATTATTAATAAAAAAAAAAAAAACTTAAACAGTTATTTTTTTTTTCTTTAATTTTATTTGGTTAATCTCAAAAATAATTTTAAATGATAAATATTAATATTATTAATTTTAAAAAGTGAGATTTATAATTTTAAATTAATTAATTTATATAAATAGGAATAATTCCATGAAAATTATTCAAAATAGATATTTATTACTTTTTTTTTTTTTAAAAATTTAATTTTTTTTTATTTTTTTTTTTAAATTAATATAAACACTTTTTTTTTCATTTTTTTTTTCATTAATTAATATTCCAATCAAATAACATTATTGTATCTTTTTATCAGTTTGTAATCTATATTTAAAACACACATTTTAGAAATATCCTCCAATGTCCAATAAATAATTTATATAGAAAAATGATAAATAATCATAATAACGATATACTATCATCATCATCAGAATCTAAAATAAAAAAAAAATATAAAAATAATAAAAAAATAAATCAAAATTTATTCAGTAATGATGTTGATTATATATATAACCTACCAGAAGAGATATTTGTAAAAATATTAAGTTATTTATATGAAGGCGATATATTTAATTGTAGTTTAGTTTCAAATTATTGGTACAAAGTTACACAATCTGATGAAGTTTGGTTAAATATATACAAAAAAATATCTTTCCATTGTCAATTGTTAAAGGTTATTATTTTTATTTTAATATATTTTTTTTTTAAAAAAAAAAGGGTTTTTACTAATTTTCTATTTTTTTTATTTTTAAAGCAAGATTATGAATTTGACTTTAAATCAATTATGAAATCAAATGATATTGCAAAAAGTAATTGGAAAAATGGAAAGTATAAAGTTAAAGTTTTTAATAATGCACATTCCGAAGTACCTACATCAATTAAATTTACTGGTAAATATATAATAAGCTCATCAAACTCAGCAGTAAAGTAAATTAAACCAATAAAATTTATTCTTATTAAAAATTTTTATTAACGCATTTCTTTTTTATTTCTAGAGTTTGGGATTATTTTAAATCTGAAGGTATATTTACTTTTAAAACTAAAAACCCTATCAATGTTATGGAGTTGGATATTAGAAATAAAAAAGTTATAGGTGGAGCATTAAATGGTTTTGTAAATGTATTCAATTTAAAAACGAACGAAATCGAAGCATCTTTTAAAGGTCATCAATCATTTGTTAGCTGTTTAAAATCCAATCATAATTCAACAATTTTTTGCACAGGCTCAAAGGATAAAGAAATAAGGCTATGGACAATAGATAATAACCAATACTATACAGATGACGATCAACAAGAAAACTCATCATTAAGAATGATAAGACTTTTAGGTTCACATACAAAAATAATTACAAATGTCGAGTGGTGTAATAGAAATAATAACCATTTGGTAAGCTCAGGTGATAAATTAATAAAGTTATGGGATGTCGAAACAGGTCAGTGCATTACATCTCTCGAAGGTTCATCATTAAATATTAATCCATCTTGTCTTTCCGTTAAAGATGGATTTATTGCATCTGGTGGTGAAGGTAATACAGTTTCGATTTGGGATAAAAGACTGGATACTCCTATTAAAAAAATTGTAACCTCCGATACCATATTCTATACTCTACAGTACGAGCCATCCCTAGACTCAATGGTAACCGGATCTTTCGATTTCATAAGATGTTTCCATGTTTCCAGTGCTACTTTAATTTCGACACTCAATCACAAACCAGCCCTAGTTAGCTCCGCACACTATGACCCAGAAAAAGTTATTAGTTTTGGTTTAGATGGAATAATAAATGTTTGGAATTGTAATTTAGATTATTCACAATCACCCAATCCAGCAATAAACAACAAATGTAATTATAAAATAGAATGTCAACCTTTGATAAGAACAACTCATGTGGACGAAACCAAAATCATAACAGGCAGTTATGATAACACTATAAGAATATTCGATTTTACCAATGATAAAAAAGATGAAAGCAATAAATGTACTATAATGTAAATTAATTAGTGATTAAAAATTATCGTTTTAAAACATATTATTCTACACATTTTTTAAATTAGCTCTATAAATAGACCCAAAAAATAACTAGATTGCATTAACACTAGGTTTTACAATGATTTTATAAGATAATAAAATGATATTAATACCATTATTTTATTTATTTTATTTATTTTATTTATATTTTTTTATACTATTAGCCACTCTTAGCAAAGAGTGTTTCCAGCTCTACCACGGGGAGGTTAGTATATTAGAGCCGAATGGTTAATTATTTATACCTTCAGGCAATATAAATAATTAAACACCATATTGAAAATTTGTGGTTAATTATGTATGCCACCACGCAGAATACATAATCAACCACCTCATTGAATATTAGGTAAATTTCAAAAACATAGATACCAAACGGGCCCAACTCAGTATCTATGTAATCAAAATACCTATAGAGAGTTTATTAAATGATAAAAGAGTGAAAAAAATAAAAAAACAAATAAATGTATGAAAAAAGTGAAAAATATAACAAATGAAAGAGTGAATAAAAAAACAAATAAATAAATGTAATGAAAAGAGTGAGAAAAAATATATATTTAAATATATTTAAAAGAGTGACTTGACTTGACTTGATTGGACTGGATGAATGGTTGTAAAAAATTTTAACTTTTACTTATCTTTATATTGTTGAATGATCCAATCCAATTGTATATTCTTGAATGTTTATAATGATTTAAAATTATGGTATCTAAATAAATAAAAAACTATAGTTGAATTATAATAATTAAATGTAAAATAATCCTTGATATTTTTATGCTAAATAATCCTCGATATGCTTTGATAATATTTATATTAATTCCCGATATATTTTAATGCTAAATAATCGTAGATTATATTTTAATTATACACAATAGTTGAATTTTAATAATAATTTAATTAAATGATAAAAAATCCTTGAATATTCTAATGATTCAATATAGTTTATATTTTTATATGCTATATAATACTTGATATTTTAAATTATCCATAATATTTGATATTTTAAATGCTACATAATAATTGATTTTTGATCCAATAAAATACTTTTACTATAATACCATAAATCTTGATATTATTGAATAGTCCAAACCAATTGTATATTCTTGAATGTGTATAATGAAATAAATTTTATAAAATTATGGTATCAAAATAAAAAATACTTATTTGTTTTAACGATAAATTATCCTTGATATTTATAATGTTAAAAAATCCTTGATTATATTTTAATACAAAATTGTTGATATTTTTATATGCTATATAATTCTTGATATTTTTAATTATCCATAATATTTGATATATCATGAATACTACACAAAACTTGATAATTCTTAATGATCCATTATATTTAATATTCTTGAATGTTGCACAATATTTGATATGTTTTAATGATCCAATATAATAATTACATTATAATTATTATACAATAAATTTTGATATTATTGAAAATAGAATGAAATGAAATGTAATGGGTGAATAAATGCAGTGGTTAATTATGTATCCCACCACGCAGAATACATAATTAACCACCATATTGATAATATAATAAAATGAAATGTAATGGGTGACAAATTTAAACAACAAATAAATGTGTTGGGTGAATAAATTAGAGCCGAATGGTTAATTATGTATCCCACCACGCAGAATACATAACTAAACACCATATTGATAATAGAATGAAATGTAATGTAATGGGTGAATAAAAAAACAACAAATAAATGTAATGGAAATTTAACTTGACAAAGCTAAAATTTGACTTGATATTTTTTAATGATAAATAAAACTTGATTTGTTTAAATGCTAAATAAATATTTGATATTATAAATGTTAAATATTGCTTGATATTTTTTAAATGCTTAATAATACTTGATATTTTTTAAATGCTTAATTATACTTGATATTATTTTATAATTTTTAAATGCTAAATAATAATTGATATTTTTGTATGATCACTATTACTTGATAATTTATATACAAATAATACTTGATATTTTTGTGTTATCCATATTAATTGATATTTTTTAAAAGATAAAAAATATCTGATATTTTGTATGACCATATTATTTGATATTTTTTAATACTTATTTACTTGATGTTTTGCATGATCCATAATACTTACCTTATAATCATTACATCCAATAAATAACAATTAGTTGATCGAAAACTTAATTGAATATTACATAATATTTGATATTTTTAAATAATACATAATTCATGATATTTCTCATTGCTAATAAAACTTGATATATTTAAATGATAAATAATTCTTGATATTTTTAAATAATACATAACTCATGATATTTTTCAATGCTAATAACACTTGATATGTTTATATGATAAATAATATTTGATATTTTAAATGCTATATATTACTTGATATGTTTATGTGATAAATAATACTTGATATATGTGAATATATTAGAGCCGAATGGTTAATTATGTATCCCACCACGCAGAATACATAATTAACAACCATATTGATAATAGAATGAAATGAAATGTAATGGGTGAATAATTAAAACAACAAATAAATGCAGTGGGTGAGTATATTAGAGCTGAATGGTTAATTATGTATCCCACCACGCAGAATACATAACTAACCACCATATTGATAGTATAATGAAATGAATTGTAATGGGTGAAAAATTAAAATAACAAATAAATGTAGTGGGTGAATGATAAATAATATTTGATATTTTTTTATGATTAATAATACTTGATATTTTTTAATGATAAATAATATTTGATATTTTTAAATGATAATAATACTTGATATTTTTTAATGATAAATAAAACTTGATATGTTTAAATACTAAATATTACTTGATATTTTAAATGGTAAATAATACTTGATATTTTTGTATGATCCATGTTATTTGATATTTTTTAAAAAAATTTTTTTTTGAAATTATTTCTTTTTCTTTTTTTTTATAGTTTTTAATAAAATTTTATATATTTTTTTTTAATGCTAAAAAATCATTTTTATAATGCTAAAAATCCTCGATAGCTTTAATGCTTAAAAATCATTTATATGTTTTAATGCTAAAAAATCCTCGATAGCTTTAATGCTATAAATCTTTTATATATTTAAATGCTAAAAAATCCCCGATAGTTTTAATGCTTAA